TACCTGTTACAACTTCTCTTCACATTTACCATTCATTTATTCTTTGGAGTTCTAAAGATCATTATTTGTGTTTTTGAATACTTCATAAATTTGAAGATTTTGTATAAAAATGAAGGGGGAAAAATGAAGCAAGCCTTTGAATATCTAATTACTACCCCATCTAGATCAATCCACACTTTTTAAACCGGCAATGTAAAGCACTGAATATTAAAAGATGTGTTCCATATAGTGTTCTGAGGCTAATGAACTGGGTTAAATAGAGTCAGAGATTTTCTTATCTTATGACCTCTCTGATTATTCTGTATGCTAATGTTCACTATGACTCTAAGAAGAGCATATAGTATACAATATTTCCCAATTTTTTGACCATATAAAATGTTTATTTTGTTATATATGTTGATGGATGCTAGAAATGAGTCCAGTGGAAAAGCGACCCAAGCTAGGAACAAGGAAATCTGGGCTGAGGCCTTCACAGTGATTACTCCAATACAGTAAAAGTAAAAAGCAGAACTCTATGGACACTTACATTTATCCCCCCAAAATGGTGACAACATTGAGATATTTTCCAAATGTGCTCAAAAGACATTGAAACAAGCCACTAAATTTATCATTTAGTGATTTCAAACTTTCAAATGGTAGAGAAAGTAAAGCAAATTGAGACTTCCAGATTAAATCAAATCCTATATAATAAAAGGCTAATATGCAAATCAACTAAATGATGGAATGACCAGTCACTATGACACACACTGACCACCATCGGGCAGATGTTCAATGCAGGAGCTGTCCCCTGGTGGTCAGTGCACTCCCATAGGGCTCATGGCTGGCGAGCACAGCGGCGGTGGTGGGAGCCTCTCCCGCCTCCACAGCAGCGCTAAGGATGTCTAACGGCTTAGGCCCGCTCCCCAGGGGCTCCAGGACTGTGAGAGGGCACAGCCTGGGCTGAGGGACCCCCCCCCCAAGTGCACAAATTTTGTGCACCAGGCCTCTAGTTTATAATGATGTTGCTTATAAAATGAAAAAAATACAGAAATCATTCGGTAATAATTTTTTAAATAATATGTAGACTTCAGTCTACAAAATTTGGTCTTAAAATACTTATTCCAGTTACCCTTCTTGCATTAAAAAAATCACTCCATAGCCTAGTGGCATAAAACAAGCATTTTTATTATGCTCACAGAGACTGTGGGTCATGAATCCATCAGAATACAGCTTGTTCTGCCCTTTGATGTTTTGGGCCTCTGCTGGCAGTGACTCGAACAGTTGGAGCTAGAACAGCTGGGGCTGGGAGCCCACTTTCAGGATGGCTTCTTCACATACATGTCTGGCACCTTGGAAAGGATGGCTGGCACTCTGGTCTCAGGTGAGATGATTATCAGAGCACATCTACACATGGCCTCACCAGTTTAGGGGCCTCAGCAAGTCAGGCTCCTCATGTCACAGCTCATTGTTCCAACAAACTAGTCAGAACAACCACAGCCTTTTTTAAAGATATATCTTTATTGATTTCAGAGAGGAAGGGAGAGAGAGATAGAAACATCAATGATGAGAGGGAATCATTGATCAGCTGAGTCCTACATATCTCCCCCCCCCTCCCTTCAGGGATTCAGCCAACAACCTGGGCATGTGCCCTTGACTGGAATTGTACCCAGGGACATTTCAGGACTGAAATGTCTATCCACTGAGCTAAATCAGCTAGGGCTAACCACAGCCTTTTAAGATCTGGTCTCAGAAGTCACAATGTGTCACTCTGACCTATTTTCTTGGTTTCTGCCCTCACAAGCTCACCCAGATGCAAGGAGAGTGGGCATAGACCCAGTATCTCAATGAAAGAATTGGCAAGGACTTAATTTTAACTACTATGGAAATACTTTACAAGAAGTTCCTAACATTTTCTCCATCAAAAGAACCTCTGGATCTCAGAATCACATGAGATAAAACACAGTGGCATGATCTGAGGCAACTAAGGATCTAAAAAATATATATAAAAATTACAGTTTGAGAGAAATTAGAGTGTTAGGGAGGGGATTGCTATCTTCATTTTTTTGTAGCAAAAAAGAAAAAAATAAATAAACACAAAAATGTGGGACTTGGTTGAACAGACTTTATAGTTTGTGAGATATAATCAAAATTTCCTCTCTTATTAACATTTTTCAGGTTGGTTACCTCAATATATTAGTAAAACCCATGTTGTGCTGGATTAGAAATTCATTTCTGAGTGTAACAGACTAATCCTTCATGAGATATTAATGAATCAAATCTTCCATTGGGTATATGCATTTGTGCCTCATGCTGTATTAGTCCATTCATCTATTCATGCGGTCCTTCAGCAAGCAAGAGCTCTTAAGTGCCTGTACTGTACTGCTTGCTGCAAATGCGTGGATAAAATAGAATTGTGAGTTCCTGCCTTTAGACAACTCATTCTAAAGCACTATTTACACAATCACTTGTTCAACTTCTTTTTTCAGACAATTCCCATCAGAGTAGAATCTAAAAATCTAGATATGTTAGTAGAATGTGAGTTAAATAATGAGACAACCAAACAAAAAACTGTCACAAAGCAGCTTATTAATGATTCATAAAATAAAGGGTATAAGTGGTTGAATAATTGAAGTTCAGAGTAGGAAGGAGTCACTATGGAATTGGGCAAACTAAGAATACTTCATAGATGTTTTAGAGCAACAGTTCTCAACCTGTGGGTCACCACCCCTTTGGCGGTCGAACGACCCTTTCACAGGGGTCGCCTAAGACCATCCTGCATATCAGATATTTACATTACGATTCATAACAGTGGCAACATTACAGTTATGAAGTAGCAACGAAAATAATTTTATGGTTGGGTCACAACATGAGGAACTGTATTTAAAGGGCCAGAAGGTTGAGAACCACTGTTTTAGAGGTTTATTTAAAGTGAGGTAATTTACTAATAATCAAATATTAAGCTTCATTTGTACCAATTATACATTTCCAAAGGTATGTGACAATTAAAAACTGTGCCAAACAACACAAAGTACAGGATATGTTATCTCTTTAATTTATTTAAAACAAAGTATATTTAGTTCCCAGTCTCCACTGGCCAAATTTGGTGAAAAGACCAATATCAATAATTTTTGTTTGTTTGTTTCACTACTACATTTCACTCCTCTCCACCTCTCTCTCTCTCTCTCTCTCTCTCTCTCTCTCTCTCTCTCTCTTTCTCTCTCTTCTCACTCACTAAGTAATTTTATATTGTGCCAAGACATCAGAACTTACAAAGTCCAAGAAAAATAGGGAAAGTTCTCAACCAGGAGTCACGCGTGGCCATTAGTAAAAGCAGTCATTGTCCCTGTAAACATCATTCATTCAGAAATGGCCAGTACTGATGCTGGCTCAATTCCATGCTGTCAAAATTGCCTCTACGGACTTTGACTAGTCTATCAATTCAATGTTGGGGCTTTGCCCAACCTCTTGGGGAACTTCCACATAAAAAGGCTGGTGTAAATTTCTTGTGGGTAAGGGGACTAGAACACAAAAACACAAAGGACTTGGCTGAACTTTCTGTCCAGAAAATGGGTAAAAAAATTTTATTCTGTTGTTGGCAAATCTATTTCACCAAAAAAACCTATGGACAAGCTAATAAAATTATGACTATATCATCCTGCCACAAGTGATAACTGTACTTCCAGGAAATAACTACTTTGTTAAAAGGGGAGATTAAAGCACATGAATCTTGAATACTTATTAGCTGCACAAATATGAAAGAAAGTATGTAAATGGCCTTGGTAATAAGAAAATGAAAGGGAATTTCTGTTTAGTTATATATTGAACATACCTCTAATGGCAATCATTTTGCTCTAACTGTACTATCATTTTAACCTATTGGGTACTCATTGAAACAATAGTTTTTCATAATCAATAAAAAGCACATACAGTAATCCTGGGTGGCCTTTTATTTTTTCTTTTTGAAAGAGGTTCTTTTAAAGCAGTATCTCAGTATAAGAGATTGCCACTGTTGTCAACATGTAGCTTCAATCTGTCTTCAATTTACACCATCAACTGAGGGGTAGTAACCATATTTTACATTTCAGTAGTCAATCTGCCTTTTCTGTTTATTTTGTGAATAAAATATTTAGTTGTGATTCTTGGCTGATCACATTAACAAATGGTGTCATTATTGGTAGAAAAATAATAACATGGCATTTAAATATGATTTTCCAGTTGGGAGCTTCATTTTGCAGAAAGTTAAAATCACTCCCATTATGAATATAACAAAGTTAAGTGTTTTGCCCACTCTGAGCTATTACAATAATCAAGAAACTTTTTTTCCTAATTTCCAATCTTTATGTCCACCATCATCCCTCCTCCTGAGTACTATCTATAAATAAAAAGATTATGCACATTTCAACTACATCCACCAAAACCAGCTGCAGAGCCCCACGGACCTGTGGAACGTTATTGCTCAAAAATTCTTTGGAGGTTTTGAAACTTGATTGCACATTGGAATCACCTGGGGAGCTTTACAAACTGCTGTTGCCTGGGTCACACCCCAGAGATTCTAATTTAATTGGTACAGAGTGAAGCCTAAGCGTCGGGATTTTTAAAGGCTCCCCAGGTGATTCTAATCCGCAGCCAAAATTGAGAAGCACGGTTCTAAACCCTCTCGCTACAGATGAGACAATTAACCCTATCAGTGACATACACAGATTTGATGTTAGAACTGAAGCTAAAACATAAGACTTCAGAATTCCAGTTACTAACTCATGCACTAACCCCAGAGCTGCCACAGGTGTTTCCCCAGGCCTGAGGCTCCCCTGAGGTTACCCAGAGATCTAGATCCACTCACCCCTCAACAAGAGCAGCTTTAATGTATGTACTGCTTTGCAGGATGTTGTCAAGGGGGTGAAAAAAAAGAGAAAACAACAGAGGGACATGTGTATGTGACTAAAATAAAGAAGTTTATAGTATTGCTAATAGGCCATGTACATAGCAAGGGATCCCCTTCTCGAAAACAAACAAACAAAAGAGCACTTGCCTCGGCAACACATATACTAAAATGGAAATGTAACAAGGAAGATAAGCATGGCCCCTATGCAAAGATGAGATGCAAATTTGTGAACACCCTATGTTCATAGCAGCACAATTGACCATAGCTAAGATTTGGAAACAGCCTAAGTGCCCATCAGCAGATGAGTGGATTAAAAAACTGTGGTACATCTACACAATGCGGTAAAAAAAGAAGGAATTCTTACCATTTGCAACAGCATGGATGGAACTGGAGAGCATTATGCTAAGCGAAATAAGCCAGTCAGGAAAAGATAAATATCACATGATCTCACTCATTTGTGGAATATAATGAACAACATGAACTGATGAACAAAAACAGATCCAGAGACAGAGAAGCATCAATCAGACCATCAAACCTCAGAGGGAAGGTAGGGGAGGGTAGGTAAAAGGGGAGAGATCAACCAAAGGACTTGTATGCGTGCATATAAGCCTAACCAATGGACACAGACACCAGGGGGGTGAGGGCATGAGTGGGGGAGGGGTTCGAGGGCAATGGGGGGGGGGGTAAGGACACATATGTAATTCCTTAATCAATAAAGAAAAAATAAAGAAAGAAAAAACACATTATGACTTTTTAAAGATAATCCCAGGCCAGTGGATAAAATAACATATGTTAAAATATAAATCTGGAGATTGGATTCATTTAAATCTAAGACAATGAAGAGTCTTTAGGGCCAGAAAGTAACGGCTTTTAACATCCCAATGTGTGATTAATTATTAAGGAAAGCTGTGTCCTTCCAAGTGTGAGTGGCTTGAGAATGCCCCTGAGGGACATAGTTTTGAGAAAGAGGTTTTTCCATTGAACAAACAAGAAAGGTTGGGAGAGGAGGGCAGAAAAGACTGTAGGAACAAGGGCAGGGAAGTTGAACAGAGGATCTTAAGACAGGAACTTGGTTCCCGGAAGGAACTAGACTTTGCTTACTTACTTTATATGCTAAATAGGAAAAGCACACAGTCTCAGAAGAAGAGAAAGTGGGAAACAGGTGTTTTGTCATCACCATCTCTGTCTGGAAAACCTCCATCCGTTTTACCTTTGGAGGAGGCCAGAGCAATGAAGTTAAGGCACGGTGCGCGGAAAGTGGTTAATCATTAGCTACGCGGTGAGCTGGGACTCGATAAGCATCTACCCAAATCTTGCAAGTTGCTACTTAACATTTGTCTCTAGAGTTTTTATCTTTCTTCCTTAGAATTTCCAGCAGGCATCCATTCATTCATTTTTATTTTGATGGGTTTATAAGATTTCCCATTACTACATGAAACCTGAAATAGAATCCTCATGATATATTTTATTATTAATAACTGGAGATAATATTGTAACGTGGGGTTCGTGGAGCAGATTCTCCCTGTGGGTTCTTGCCCCACGAAGTTGGAAGAATAAACTCGCAGACTAAGAAGACTGTTAGTAAAAGTGTGGAAATGTATTGGAAGCAAATACAAACTCCCACATAAGGAGGGGTTCCCAAGTGGGTAACCAACTAAGCCCCTTTTTATAAGGTTTTTAAAGGCTGGGAGTTGTCTCTTCATGCTCCCTTCTAATTGGACCCCTTCTCCATTTTATGACCCTGTGCTTTGCCAATTGGTCACTCTTTTGCAGGGTATCAGTTTCAAAGCCCAAAGTCCACTTGGTAACCTCCCCCCCCCACCCCCCACCCCCCCACCCCCCCCCCTGCTCTCTCCCCGTATCTTGTGACATTTCTCTATCCTCTGTGAACGTGTGCCTTCCTCCTGGAACATTCCTCTATCTTCTACAAAAGTAAGATAAGCATGCTGGCGTCTGGGAGCTATCTCCTTCCCT